TGAAGTTGCCACTGCCTGATCTTGGTCTTCAACCTCAGCTGTGTCATCAGGTGATCTATCCCATTCCTATACCTACTAATGGCAATTCTAAAACTTGATAATTTTTTTTTTCTTAAAGATTTTTATTTATTTATTTGACAGATGGAAATCACAAGTAGGCAGGGGCGCCTGGGTGGCTCAGTGGGTTAAAGCCTCTGCCTTCAGCTCAGGTCATGATTCCAGGGTCCTGGGATGAGCCCCACATCAGGCTGTCTGCTCAGCAGGGATCCTGCTTCCTCCTCTCTCTCTGCCTGCCTCTCCGCCTACTTGTGATCTCTGTCTGTCAAATAAATAAATAAAATCTAAAAAAAACTCAAAAAACAAAAAGAAATCACAAGTAGGCAGAGAGAGAGATTGGAGGAAGCAGGCTCCCCGCGAATCATCTGGAAGTCTTATTAAATTCCCCCCGTGTCGTCTGTCTACTTGTCCTCTATATTACTTGCCCGGTCAAGACACTCAAGCTAGTTAGCATGGAATGAAAAGTTTTCAGTCATCCCCACCAACCTTCCCTCTCAGCCTCAATTCCTGCTGTTGAACATGAAACTGGCATGCTCCTTATTCCCAAAGTGCACCGTGGGATTCCTGGGCTTGAGCAAAACTCATTCATTCATTTACCATTCATTATATGTATGTTCAATAGGTCATAATCTCACAGAAGAAGACTTTATTCTTCATGACCATTCCTTCCTCTCCTCACCTTGGGGAATCACTTCTCCTCTATACTCACTCAGCTCCTCTGCGCTCTTCTCTGAGATCGCGGACGTGCCCCAGGTAGGAGAAAAGCAGCATTAGCTTCCACACTCCTGGGCCACTTGTTTCTCTCCTGACCTCCACTGCCCACCCCCAACCCTGGCCCCACTCCTAGAGGAAGAGTAAGACAGGTTCTCTCTTTTATCTTCAGACGCCATGATGTCTGACTCATGGGCTGACCTGGATGAAACCCTAACGCGATCAAATTAGTATTGTCACCCTCCAAATTTCCACCCTCCTCCATCCCGTCTCGGATATCCTTCCACAGGCCTCTGGCTGCTTTGACTCAGTAACCCCTGCCACTGGGTCCAGTGCTTGCTAACCCATGCCTGCTGAGCCCAGAAGCCCCTCCTCCTGGAGAATGGGAGTCACATGGTAGCAGGCCAGAATCGCCATGATTCAGAGCATGGTGTGAGCATGGCTAAGACTGGTAGGGAAGGCCATTTGCCTCCGGCATCGGCTTGACCCTCAAGGTACTGCTCAACAGAGGAAAGGAAGCATAGGTAATGCTGGATTACGGAGAGGGGGGCAGGCAGCCTGAGCCATTCCCTAGAATACCCACAAAACAAGGGCATTAAAAAAAAAAAAAAGGGAAGAAAAAACTGAGACCAGAATTTGATCACTACTATATACAGCTACCCTTGAACAACACTAGTTTGAACTGTATGAGTCCAACTGTACTAAGATTTTTTTTAAAAAGATTTTTATTTATTTATTTGATAGACAGAGATCACAAGTAATCAGAGAGGCAGGCAGAGAGAGAGGAGGAAGCAGGCTCCCCGCTGAGCTGAGAGCCCAATGCGGGGCTCGATCCCAGGACCCCAGGACCACGACCTGAACCGAAGGCAGAGACTTAACCCACTGAGCCACCCAGGCACCCCCCAACTGTACTCAGATTTTTTTTTTTTAAAATACACAACAGTACTGTAAATGTATTTTTTCCTATGATTTTCTTAAAACACTTTTTTGTTGTAGGAATACACAGTAGAGTACATATAACATACAAAACATGTAAATTGACAGCTTCTGCTCTCAGTGAGACTTGTGGTCACCAGTTTTAGGTGGAGTCAAAAATTATGCATGAATTTCCAATTGTGTGAGGGGTCAGCACCCCTACCCCCACATTGTTCAAGGGTCAACTGTGTATTTTCGAAAGAAACTATCATCAGTTGGATGTCCCTATATATGCTTCATGGTCTAATACATTTTGGTGGGGGGGGGGTTGTTTCTTCAAGATTTTGTCAGAGAGAGCACAAGCAGGAGGAACAGCAGGCAGAGGGAGAAGCGGGCAGTGGGAGAAGAAGGCTCCTTGCTGAGCAAGGAACCCAATGTGGGACTTGATCCCAGGACTCTGGGATCATGACTGGAGCCAAAGGCAGAGGCTTATCCCACTGAGCCACCCAGGTGCTCCTTCATTTTGAATTGTATATGGAAAATGGGACACCACCATGTTTCCAAGGTTTGGAGCCTTCGTTTATTTTTAAAGACTTTATTATTTTTAGGTAATCAACATGGGGCTTGAACTTACAACTGAGATCAAGAGTCACTCATTCTATGGATGGAGTCAGCCAGGCGCCCCAAGGTTTGGAGTCTTTCAAGTCTTTATCTGGGCTTGGTTAGGAGAAAGATCTCTAATGACATGCTTTTGGGGTCTTTGGCCCTGTTCTACTCAACTTTTTTAACCCACCTCTTGGAGACAGGTGTCCATCAAGTCTAACAACACAAAATTTACTAAGGACAAACACGAGATCCTGCTGTTAAGTCCAAGGTAACAGCTGCATACATCTGAAGTGAAGGGAACGTGGTCTGGGCAGTAACAAAGTTTGTAAAGACGGGGGTTCTAGAGGGCAGTGGCTTCACAACAGAGAGCCTGGTAGAACCACCAAACACAGGCCCGGAGGAGGTAGGGGGAGGCGGCCCCAAATTAAATGATACGAGGAGGTATAGAAGAAACTGGAGGTCCTTAGCCCAAAGAAACCTCAGTTGTCTTCAACTAGCAGAAGGCATGCTGGGGGAAGCAGATTACACTTGTTTGGTGGAGGACAGCGTGTGCGCGGCAAAACCAGTCCAGGATCCTGGAGAAGTGAGCCTGGAAACCCTGTAGCTCCAAGGGGGCCAACCTTTCATCCATGTCTCCACTCTCCCCGACACTGCCTTTCCTTGAAGGTGCTCCTCGTAAAGGCCATGGGAACATCCGCATGGACACATAGCCTAAAGCCCTCATTCTCTCGTCTGAAACCTTGCAGCAGCTCTTTTCTGCATGTAACCTCTCATGCTTCCAAATGTATATGCCCCATCGCTTGCAGAATCACCACCTGAAAACCTGACACAGTCCTTCTGGGTGGCCTGGCCTGCCTTCCCGATCTCTGCCTGGGCTGCAGACCATAAAGCACTCCTTCAGCTTTACAGACCTAGTTTCCTCGACCTGGAGTAACCTGTCCACACCTCTGTACATGGCAGCTCTATCACTTTCTTGACACCTTTCCTGACCCCTCGCCCAAGGGATACTGCCGCCTCCTGCTCGGAGCCTCCTCAGTGAGCCCCACCTGGCTGCCATCACTTCACTGTCCCTGCCTCTCTACCAGGTGTCTTCAGGGCAGATCCTGGGTTTTGTCCATCTTTGTATCTTCAGCCCCTGCCACAGTGCCTGGACTATATAGGAGGAACTCAGTAAATGGCGGATGGAATTAACAGAGAGATATTTCTTTCCTAAATTCTTCCTGCAACAGGCACACCGTTTTTGTGAAGAGAATTACATTTGGTCTTTGGTGGGCAGCTTTCTGTCCAGCTAGGACCCCTGAGAATATTTCCTTGACTTCTCCAGAGTGGAAGCGACCCGAAGCATGGACACGGTGCTGAGAAGTGGCTAGACAGGCCAAAAAATTGGCTCTTATTTTGGACGGTCTCAATGTCTTTGAGAATCTAGTGAAAAACAAAACCTTTCCCCCTTTTCTAACTTGGTTCCTAAAGCTAGAGTAACTGCCATTCCCTAGGGCCCCCAGATCCACCTCCCCTCGCCCACCCCAGGCTTCCTTCCCAGTCCCACAGGTGGAAACCCCTCCCCCAGAGACACTGGGTATCTAACCAGAACTCAGAGGGCATGGCTGCGGCCAGGTGCTCTCTTCCTGATGAGCGGTGCATTCGCATTCTAGAGCGCTACTTGTGCCCATGCACGGGACCTCCAGAGAGATGGTAGATGCTCTGAGAAGAAATGGAGAAGTTTCACCAAGGGGTGGGGGGAGGGGAACAAGAAGAAAGTTAAATGAACCTCAGTCACTAGAAGAACAAGCCTAACGATTCAGCTCCTCTTCCGGGCAGCTGCATCTCCGCACTATCCAGTTAACAGCCACGAGACATAAGGAAGGAGAAATGAGAACAGCCCAAGTGTTTCTTTTATTACCAAAGCAACTGTTACACACACACTCAGGACCTCCACTCCTATCCCTGAGGATAACCAGGGAGGTCCTTGCAGTTGTAGGAACCCTTCGGAGGGAAAGGACTGCCGGGCTCAGGCTGCCTTGGCTGGTTGTGAGGAAAAGGCCCTTGCAGGGACCAGTTACACAGCATCGCTGGACCTAAGGACCCTTGAAGACGGGACTGGGTACGAGGTGACAGGATTTTGGCCACCATCTCAGCATGACTAGGGGGTTACGGGTAAGCCTGATACTAGCCCCTCTACAGGAACACATAGGACCAGGGCATCCCCCTCAAGGAATCCAGACTCCTCAGGATCCCCCACCAAATGTGGTCCGGCAGAAAAGGGAAGTCTTCAGAGTCTGCTGCATGACGCAGGCCGGGTCCAGAGCGCACCGCACTGCTCTTGGCACCACTCTTAAAGGCCTCCATCGGCAGGGGCTGCCCGCTCGGGGCACAGCCAGCAGCCGGCGCAAACCCCGGGGCCTGGGGTGGAAACGGTCAGGCTCCGCAGCCTTCACACCATCCCCTCTGGCTCCCCCGCTATTCCCTGAAGCTTTTCCATGACGTCCCCTGAGAGGGGCTCAGGGGCTGGCGGGGGCTCTCCCGGGGCTTCCGACAGCACATAGTAGACAATCTCTTGCTCGCCTTGGGCATTGGTCTGATTCACCACATGGATGACGGGGCTGGGAGTGTCCTGAGAGGCTGGGAGGCCTGTCCCCTGGCTGCTTCCGCCTTCCCCCTCCTCTTCAGCCTCCTCCTGGGGTCCTGGCTCCCCCGGCACTGCTTCAAGAATGATGCCCTGCAGGCTGGTCTCATTCAGCGACGCTCCCAGGCCCGATCCCTCTTGCGGCTGCCGGAGCAGCTGCTGTGTCAGCTCCACACTCTCGTAGCGAACAAGCTGCAGCCGCATGTAGCCGTCTTCATGCTCCTTGTACCTGGTGAAGCAGGAGCACACAGGGCAGCGACCGTGCGCAGGGGGACATGGAACGTCCCGGTGAGCGGCAAGGTAAGGGAGAGACATGAGGGGATGGGACAGGCCCTGGGATTTTAAGCGACAGGAGTTGGAGACCAAAAAGATCTTTAGGGGAATATGTGGAAGACAAGACAAGAGGGAAAGAGCAGTACTTACGATGGGAAATCATACGTAGGAACTTGAGAGGCAGGGAGAGAGGAAGAGAAGGTGGGATAAAGACATGATCTGTGTTGGAGGGTGGGGGGGTGGGGGTGTCGCAGGAATTAGGAGACGGTCGTGGAGCTATGGGTCAGGACCCTTAGGCTCCAGTTGTGATTCTGGCTGCAGGGCTCCGGAACCACATTTAAAGATCAATATAATCATCTTTGCTCCACCACTTTATTCTCAGGGTTCCTCAAGCCTGAATGGAGATGGAGGATTATCAACAAATTCAAAGAAATTTTTAAAGATTTTATTTATTTGAGAGAGCAAGCACAAGTAGGAAGGGGCCAAACGGTGAGGGGCAGAGGGAAAAGCAGATCCCCCCACTGGGCAGACAGCCCGATGCAGGCGGACCCCAGGACCCTGGCTGGGATCATGACCTGGGCCGAAGGCAGATGCTTAAGCGACTGAGCCACCCAGGCGTTCTAAATTTGAGGTTTTTAACTTGTTGAAAAGGTATGGGGAGGTGCAGAGGGGAAGGCCTGTGAATCTAGCGGGCAGGGTTGACATACCGAAAACGGGGGTGCCCTGAGGGCCACTTGAACTGGTGCTTCTCACGAAGATGCACAGTGAGGTTGTTGCCCCTCGTGAAGCATTTGTCACACACATGACACTTGTACCTTGGCTCTGAGTCTCCCTGATAGGAGGGGAGGACAGTGAGGCCAACTCTCCACCCTGGGTTCCCCACACCTCTGCCTGCCCTCTCCCACCGACAGCCCCACTCACTTCATGCACTTTTCGGTAATGGGACTTGATGGAGCAGAGGGATCGCGCACTGAAGCTGCAGTTCTCAAAATCACACCTGTAGGCTGGCTCCTTGCTGTGGGTATCCAGGTGCTTCCGTAGGTCAATCAGATTCTTGCAGCTGTGGGGAGAGGTCAGGCGGGGCTGGAGGGCACGGGGGACGCTGGACCGTGAGTTCTCGGACTTCTAGCCCCTTACCTGGTTCCCCTTACCTGTAGTCACAACAGTCACACTTGAAGGGCCGGTCCTCGCTGTGGCGAAAGCGCATGTGGTTTCGGAGGGAGGATGGCAGCGGACAGGTCATATCACACAGAGGGCACTTATAGTGATTCACTGAGAGGAGCAGAAAGGGGGGCCGTGACCTGAAGCCTAGCGGGAACCTGGAGGGAGGGCCAGGTGCGTGGGGGCTCTGGCTACTCACCGTGGTTACGCATATGGTCCCGCAAGAGCCGCTCCGTGGCAAATCTCTTGGAGCAGTGAGAGCACTGGAAGCGCTGCTCTGGGGCGGAACAGGCAGAAGACAGGGTGGGCTGTGGGGGATGGTGGGGAGGTGCCAGCAAGCCCGGGAGAGGGGAACCACCCAAGAAAAGGGGGAGTTTAAGAACTAGGGATAGACACACTACCACTGAAGGAGCATGGGGCTTGGGAGTCAAGAACTTGAATTAGAATCCCTGCTTGACCCCTAACTAGCTGTGCAACCTCATATAAGTGATTTAACCTGAGATTCAGTTTCTTCATCTGCAAAAAGAGGGTGAGGGGTGCCTGAGTAGCTCAGCTGGTTAAGTGTGTGCCTTCGGCTCAGGTCATGATCCCAGAGTCCTGGGATGGAGTCCCACACCAGGCTCCCTGTTGAGCAGGGAGCCTGCTTCTCCCTTGGCCTATTGTTCCCCCTGCTTGTGCTCTCGGGCCCTCTCTCTCACAAATAAATATATACATACATACATAAAATCTTCAAAAAAAAAAGGGGGGGGTAAGAAGCACACCTCATGGGGCTGTGAGAATTCACTGGGAAAAGAGAGCACACGGTAAGCACTGAATAAAACATCTAATGAATCCCAGGCAGCCAAGGCTGTGGCAGGTGACTGAGCCCTAAGACAGATGTAGCCAAGCTGCAGATGCCTTCAGTGGCCCCCTCTCCCAGGAACATGCCCTTAACCCCCACCCTAAGCAGGACAGCGTACACCCACTCCCCTTCTTCTCGGACTGCTTACGATCCAAAGAGGTCTGGCGACGGATGTGATCTAAGAACTTGGTGTTGTTGGCAAACATGCCCCCACAGGTGGGGCAGGCCACCACCTTCTCCTGGGTATGGCTTCGGAGGTGCTCTCGAAGTTTCCGGCAGTCCTTGAAGGTGCAGGTACAGCCTGGGAAGGAAAGCCCAGTCAGGCTCCAGCCACGGACCCCCAGAGCAGGCTCTGGTGCTGAGTCTCCAGACAGCAGCGACCCTTACCCCATGGGACTGGGCCCATGCCTAGCTGCCCTAGGCCCTCAGCAACCCCAGGCGTTCTTTAAAGGCCCTACCTTTCCAGCCACACAGCACCACATGGTTGTCCTTGCCGACCGCCTGGTACTCACAGCATAGGCTGTGCGCTTCCACGTGCCGATAGAACCACTCGGGATTGTCGAAGGAACTCTGTGCCAGAAGCAACTTGGGGTGAGGATGGGTAGAGGGACTTTGACCCCTACGTGTCCAAGGGGGGCTCCTTGGCTGTCTCCCAAATTAGGTCGGCAGGGGCATGCCCCTCCCTATTTGAGCAAGGGAGCTACCTGGAAATGAGATGCTAGCAGGAACCTGGCATACATAGGGCATCCCTGAGAGGGTCAAGGCATCGTGAGCTAAGACCCCCAACTTCCTTCCGCCCCATTCCCAGCACTGCCCGCTGACCTCACAGTGCTCCCACAGACACAGGAAGTGGTCAGGGATGTCGGGGATGATGTTGCGGCTCTGGAAGTCCAGGATGCAGGGGCTGAGGTTGGCCTGGCTCTGCAGGGCCTGCAGCCCCCACTGCTTCAGCTTGGTGTGGTAGCAGTGGAAGTAAACGTGGCGAATGAGGTCAGCCGAATTGTCCATAGAACAAAAGCCACACTCCTGCCACAAGCAGGAGAATTCCTCCTCTGCAGAAAGATGTTTAGAAGGAAGAGTCTGATACTTTGCAAAGCTCAGTTCTCCTACCTATAGCACTTAGCAGCGAGAGAGGAAGCTGGACTCTGACCCAATTACCAGCAGTTCATTTTGCAAATACCAGCATTTAACTACCACCAATCGTGCCCCAGGCACTGGGGATACAAAGAGTAAAAAGGGTCCCAGTCCTTGCCCTCACAACAGCTTTCAGTCATGGAATTAACTGAGTAATCACACATATGAATATAAAACCCCAGCCAGTCCCAAGCTCTATGAGCGGGGGGTGGTCTGGGGTACTATAACATCATCAAGCAGAGGTCATCTGATATGGACAGGGATGACTTAGAAGTGTCCCTGTGTTGAGATGTGAAGGGTGAGTATCTGTAAACTAGAGGGAGAAGTGTGGCTGTTGAGGCAGAGGGAAGGGTGTGTTCAAGGCCCTGTGCCCAAAACTCCCAGATGGCAGGGATGGCTGGCAGGCGCTAGTGGCTCCGGATTCCTGCCTCGGTCTCCCAGTTCGGGACACCTCCCACTCCTTCCTTCAGACCAGTCCTTCCTTTCCCTATATTCTCCCCGAGGCCTGTCCTCTCTAGAAAAGCCATCGACTGCTGCAGCCCACTGCCTGGTTCTTAAGCAGCTCTCTCCAAGCACATTTTCTTTCTTCTTTTTTTTTTAAGATTTCATTTATTTATTTGACAGAGATCACACGTAGGCAGAGAGCCAGGCTTTAACCCACTGAGCCACCCAGGCGCCCCTCCAAGCACATTTTCAAGTCTTTACAGGGGTTTAGTTGTTTTAGAAAGTAGGTACTTAAAAAAATATAAAGGGCGGGTGCCTGGGTGGCTTAGTTGCTTGAGCATCTGCCTTTGGCTCAGGTCATGATCCCAGGGTCCTAGATTGAGTCCTGCATGGCAGCTGGGGGTGAGGTCCTTGCTCGGCGGGAGTCTGCTTCTCCCTCTGCCCCCTCCCTTGCTAGTGTGTGCGTGCTCTCTCTCTCTCTCTCTCACAAATAAATAAATAAAATATTTTAAAAATATCTATATAAGGGCACCTGAGTGGCTCAGCTGCTTGAGCATCCAACTCCTGATGTTGGGTCAAGTCTTGATCTCACAGTCGTGAGTTCAAGCTCCATGCCGGGCATAGAGCCTACTTTAAAACACACACACACACACACCCTAATTTCTCTCTCATACAGGGGCACCTGGGTGGCTCAGTGGGTTGAGCCTCTGCCTTCAGCTCAGGTCATGGTCTCAGGGTCCTGAGATCGAGCCCCGCATCGGGCTCTCTGCTCGGTGGGGAGCCTTCTTCTTCCTCCCCCTCTGCCTGCCTCTCTGCCTGCCTGTGATCTCTCTCTCTGTTAAATAAACAAATAAAATCTTTAAAAAAGAATTTCTTGTTCATACATATATTATTTGACTTCTAAAACTATTGCTTATAGTTCATAGTCACTAGACTTAAAACAGAATTTGAGGCCGGGGAAAGAGAGCTGCCTCTGTACTTTCTGCAGAACAGAGTTCTTTAAACTGCGTTGTGACCTATTAGTGACTGCAGAAATCAATTTAGAAGACTGCAAACCAATTTTTTTTTTTAATTTATTTGAGAGAGAGAGAGAGACAATGAGAGCATGAGAAGGGAGAGATCAGAGGGAGAAGCAGACTTTCCGCTGAGCAGGGAGCCCGATGTGGGACTTGATCCCAGGACTCCAGGATCATGACCTGAGCCGAAGCCAGCCGCTCAACCAGCTGAGCCACCCAGGTGCCCCTGCACACCAATTTTTTTAAGGAGGCTCCAAGCTCAACATGGGGCTTGAACTCATGACTCTGAGATCAAGAGTTGAGTGCTCCACCGACTGAGCCAGCCAAGCGCCCCTCTGCATTTCTTTTTTTTTTTTTAATGAAAAAGAACAAGACAGACACTTCAGAGAGCATTTAATAGAGGCAAGGATTATTTCAAGTATTTTTTAACTTTTGTGTATGGGGTTGGGATGTAAAATGTATTCCTAACTGGCAGCTGCAGTAAAGAAAAACCGAGAAGCTCTACCAGAGAATCAGACAAGCAGGCTGTTGACAGTATGTACAGTATGATCCTTTTTAAATAGTAAAATCCTCTTTATCTAGTGTACATATATGGGGCGCCTGGGTGGCTCAGTGGGTTCAGCCTCTGCCTTCGGCTCAGGTCATGATCTCAGGGTCCTGGGATCGAGCCCCACGTCGGGCTCTCTGCTCAGCAGGGAGCCTGCTTCCCCCTCTCTCTCTGCCTGCCTCTCTGCCTACTTGTGATCTCTGTCTGTCAAATAAATAAATAAAATCTTTTAAAAAATGTACATATTTATGCACATACCAAAAAAAATGTGCATATATATTGCCTTTTGATGGCAGGCTGGCAGATTCGTTCCGTTTTCTATAAGGCGTCTACCATGTTTTTATAAGCAAAAATGGCACCATTAGGAAAAGTCAGATTTCCCACCTTCCTTGAGCTCTTTCCCCTTCCTGTCCTGCTCCCTTACCAAGTGCGTCCTCCTCCTCCTCTTCCTCCTCCCCGGAGCCGTGCAGGTGCTGCTGCAGGTGCTGAGTGACATGCTCGCAGAACTCCTCCATGGCTGAGCACACAAAGGAGCAGGACCCCCACTCACACTGGAGTCCCAGGTTCTCCTTCCGGGGAACTTTCGCCGGGGGCGGCATGGCCTTCACCCTAGAAGAGGAAGAGATCCACAGCTACAAGGATTCCACCAAGTGCTGCTGGGGGCAAACGGGTGCACAGCCTGCCAAGAACCGGCAGGCGTTTCTCCCATAACCCGCAAGGAACAGCTACTGCGGCTCGGTTCTTCGAGCCCCTGGAAGCCGCCTGGCGTGCCTGTAAAGGGAAAACACACGCTAACATCACAGAGCAGGTGCCAGGCACTGAGCTAAGAACTTCAACAGCCGATTTCTCATGAAGCTTCAGAGCGACGGGCTGAGAAGGAATTAATTATTCCAACGAAACGCAGAACACTGTGCACAAGTTCAAAGAGATGGCTCCGGGCAAGGAACAGACTTCAAATCCACACTGCTGTGTCCACCACCTATTAGCTGTGTGGAGGTGGCCAAGTAACTTCACCCTCCGAATCCCGAAATCCCAGCTTCGAAATGGGGATAACAAAACCCTTTGTTTTTCATTTCACACTTACTATATAGGTCAACACATTACATGATGTCACTGAATTACCAACACCACCCAATGAGGGAAGTACTATTTTTAACTTCACTTACAGGTAAGAACTTCAGGTTCGGAGAGGTTAACTGGTTTGCTCAAGGCCACACACTAGTGGGGCGGTAGGGTCAGGTCAGGCTGACTCCAAAGTCCGTATTCTTTCTAACCCACACAGCTTGTGGATGAGCCCCAAAGCTCTTTATCTCTTACTGCATCTGTCCTAAGTCCCCGCCAGAATTTTAAACCACCATTCAATCTGCCTTTGCCTAACCTATCCAGCAGATACTGAGCACTCCCCTAACATGCTCAGAACTAAAACGTCCAGGTGACCCTGAACAACAGACACGTGAACTGGGCAGATCCACTTATATGCGGAGTTCTGCAATACTTTTAGAATACATTGGAAAACTTTCTGGAGGTTTGCAACAATCTGAAAAAATTCCCAGACGAGTTGGGTAGTCTAGATATATCTGAAGAATTAAGAAAAATTTAGGTATGTCATGAATACATAAATACTAGTCTATTTTAGAATACAAGTCTGTTTTACTATTTACTATCTATTATTTATTATTTAATACCATAAAATATACCCAAATTTATTATAAAAAGTTAAAATTTATTGTTCACCTGGCTGGCTCAGTCGGTGAAGCATGTAACTCTTGATCTTGGGGTCATGAGTTCAAGCCCCACACTGGGTGTGTATTACTTAAATTTTAAAAAGTTAAAATTTATCAAAGCTTACACACACACAGACAGTACATTATCTTTTCATTTATGTCTAGTGTTAGTAATATGTGCAACACCTGCAGTGTTTTGTTTCATATAAGACAATATTGATGTAGGTTCTGACAGACGATTCACTTTATAAAGAGGCCACATAAAACTAACAGTATCAATAAATACAGTCCAGTACTATAAACCTATGTTCTCTTCCTTATGATTTTAATAACAGGAGGAAAAGTAGGGAAAGCCTTCCTAAGTCAGACATAACATCCCAAACCTCCTCTCTTTCCTGCCTACAGGATCAAGTCCATTGAGAACTACACGCAAGGCTCTTCTCCAACTGGCCTCAACTTACTTCTCCAGAAACTGAGAAAGGACACTATCATGACTGAGGGCCTACCATGAGTCAGCCCCTTCCTTTTTTTTTTTTTTTTTTTTAAATGAAGACTCTATTTATTTGACAGAGAGAGATCACAAGCAGGCAGAGAGGCAGGCAGAGAGAGACGGGGGGACGCAGGGCTCAATTCCAGGACCCTGAGATCATGACCTGAGCCGAAGGCAGAGGCTCAACCCCCTGAGCCACCCAGGCCCCCCTTAAACTTCATTTCATTTGATGTAAGAGCATCCTGACTCTTATCCAAAGATCATGCACTTCCTCATCGACACCATGCTGCTGCTCTGGCTTCCTCTCCCGTTCGTTCATTCCTCTCTTTGATCCAACCATCTTTGTCCCTAAACACATTACATTCTCCCCAAACTCTGCCTGAGAAACTTCCACCTACCCTCAAGCCCAGTGTCCCTTCCTGGGTGAGTCCTTTCCAATTTATCCCGGTAAAACTGGAAAATCCAGCTGCTGTCCCTGCAGCACTGTGTACTGCTTTGTTACAGCGCTGTTACAATGGAATGGAACATCTGTCTCCCCCAGACTAGGGGCCTCTCAGGACAGGGACCTCACCCCTTCCCTTCCCTTGCCCAGCATTAGCCCAGAGCTCTGTACTCTTCAGACAATGTCAGGATCTGATCATATTCCAGGAAGCCTTCCTAAATTACTTGCCCCTAGGATTACTCCTGTCTCTTGGTGCTATGGCTGTCATAGCTAACACCAGAAAATCTCAACCCGATTTGTATGCTGCCCATGGTCATTTGATGTGTTCTATTCTCATTCACACAAATGGGACAGTATTAGCTGCTTTGGAGCAGGAACCACACCACGCCCATCTGTGTCCCTATACTATGTCCAGCACAGTGCTGAGCACAGATACTGTAAACATATACCTGTTGTCGGACTGGGTAAGGCCCAGCAGGTATCTAGGCATCTAGATATCTAGAATGACTTGAAAATTAGGCAAAGCTCCCTGAATCCCTCTTTCGCTGTCCCCCAGCGTTCTTTACTTTCTCTCCTTGTGCCCTGCTTGTCTCCACCCTGGGGAGCTGTGGGACAGTGACTATCTGGACACCATTCCTTCTTCTGTAGGCAAGGAATACAGGGAGGCACCCTGTATACTGGAGAGGGCATTGGACCAACTGTCAGAAAGCCTAGGTTCAAGTTTCCTGTCTCAATTACTTTACTCTGTCTCAAAAAATATAACATTAAGTATGTACAGTACACAAAGCACTGTTCTAAGTGTCCTGTGTGTATAAAAACTCAATACAACAACCCACCTACTAAGGTATTATTCTCCCACTCCACAAATGAGATAAGGGGGCCCTGATAGGTTAAGTAATTTACCCAAGGCCACAAAGCTAGTGATGGAGACAGAATTCAAAGCCAGGGAGTTTGGCTCCGTTCTCCTCCTACACCCGCCATCTTATCTCTCCTTGTCTGATTCCTTCCTTCCCCCATAGACCTTGTATCCGTATATATAATACCCCAAACATGTTTTATTAAGTAGTTATTCTGCCAGCTTTCCCGAATAAACTGTGAGCTCCTAGAAAGTCTGGCCTGTGCCCCATTCAGTTCTACCTTCAGGACCAGCACACCCTCATACAAGCTCTTTTAATGTTTAAGTGAACCTATAACTTATTACTTTACTTTTTTGATAAATAACCTAACTTCCTCGAACCTGTTTTTTTTTAATGTAAAATCACAACTAGTGATAGACTGAACTAATATCACAACTAATACTAATATCACATCTAGTGACAGACTGAACAAACCTGGTTAGAAACCACCAACATTTACTAGCTGTGTCACCTCCTTCAAGTTACTTAAACCTCAGTTTCCCATAAAGCAGGGGAATCATTAAGCCTGTCCCACTGAATTGATTTATGGACTAAATAATGTATATTAAAATGCTTAGCATAACATCCCGCCAGAACTCAACAAGTGTTAGCTGTTTGTATCCTTGCTTCTGAGGGTGAGATGATCTAAGCACAATTCTACAAAAAGGTCAACAAAAGGACCACCGGAGAAATCCCTAACACTCTTCATCTGGAATCACAGTAAGAAGAAATCAGCAAATACTTACGGGTATATATTTTAACGCAAGGCACCGACAGATAACCCTGAACGATATTCAAGAAAAGGAGAGACCTATGTCCTCAACCTCCTAAGGACTCACAATCTGGCCGAAGAGATAACTCTGACGTATGAAGACAACCGCCAAAACAAAGCGTCGATGGAGGAAGCCAGGACAGAAAAAAATCCCAGTGCAGGAGCGAAGCAGGGAAGACTTGCCCTAAGCGGCGGGGCCCGGGCCCCTGAAACACCGGTCGAATTCGGAGAAAAGGAGACAGTCCCGGCTGGTAAAACCTCTCCCTCGCAGCCTCGCAGGCTTCCCGGAGTCCTTCTCCCACTAAGGCATGGCGGTAACCATGTCTCAGAAGCAGTGAAGCCCCAGACGAGGGAACTGGGAGATACGAGTCGGGGTTAGGGGTCGGGGGCACTGCAGGCGCCGGGCAGACCGACGTGGCCAAGCTGCCAGAAGAAGCCTCGCGGAGGTGACTAAAGAGCCTGGCCCCGGGAGCCTGCTCAGAGAGCACCCCGATGCTGCCCCGGGAAAACCGCAGCCCAGCTTACCGTCCCTCCACTGCCGGCTCTCTCCAGCTCTTCCCACCTCGGACCATCTCCGGAAGGGCGCTTGAGCGACGGCCAGCGAGAGCCAATCGCCGCTCTCAAATCCCTCTAACAGCCAATGGCCGCTGCGACTGACGGAAACCGTGCGCGACCAAAATACGGAAGGGGTGGGAGTGAGGACCCGCGGGCTGCGGGGAAGGTAGCTTTGCTGGCGCGGCTGGGTTCCAGACGCGGCGCGGACTGGGAATCCCAAAGTCCCGAATCCGCCCAACTGCGCAGACTCCGCGCTGGCATCCACTGGGCCTGCGCGGGGCTCGAGCTGAGCGCCAAGTGCGGCCTCTTCCTCGCGTAGCTTACTGCGTTAGCTGCGGGCGAGCGCAGGGAAGAGGAGCGGGAGGCGGTGGCAGCTGCGCGCAGGGCTGAGTGCACCGAGCTGTCAGCCCCTCTCGACCCAAACTGAAGTTCTACCTCTACCCTCACCCTCTTAATCTGATTTCTTAAATATCGGTATTCCGAGGTGCCATCTTTTCCCTCCACCACCTCTCCTCTTCCGAGACTCAGTGAACAGCCGCGTTATCTATCCACTCCTTCAAACCAGAAACCCAGCAGTCCTCCCTGATTCCTCCCTCATCCGTTACCTACCATCCTCCGCCCAAGTCCTGTGAATTTTAACTTCTTAAACACGGGAGCTCTCAAATTCACCCCCCACCCTTCACCGTCCCCTCGCTAGTCTATTAACGACGCCCAGCCCCATGTCTACACTACCTGGTTCCATCACGTGCACTCTCCCTTCCCTACAAGACCTTCCCCACGAAGAAATTCTGATTAAACCACGACCCTGCTTTCAACACTTCAAGGCCTTCTGTGGCCCGGAGGCAAAAACCCCAAACCATACTGAGGCTTTCTAGACCCTTCGATATCTGAGTCCTGCATACTGCAACCGTGTCTTTCGTCCTGGTCCTCACCTTCTGCTCTCCAGCCCAGTTTCTTGCGGTTTCTCGACCACACCTAGCCGCCTTTTACCTTTCCTGCCTTGTACTTGCTGTTTCCTCTGCCTGGTGCCATCTTCCCCCTTCTTCCCCTCTGACATGTATCTGACTCCTACTCATTCTTCTGGTCTCCGTGAAGATGCTTCTTTTCCCAAGTCTTCCAGTAGGGGAGGGCAGGGGTTGTATGTGCTCTTCACGCACGTGACTCCATCACTTAGCCTAGCAGCTCAAACATTAAGGGTTCGAGACATATTTGTTAAATAATGTACCTTAGTAAAGTTCATTGGGGTTGAGATTTATTTTGTTACATTTTTCTGTATTTTTCTAACCTAAAAATAAGCCTATATGATTCATATAATCAGAAAACACATTAAATGTTCAATATAAATGAATGACACTATTAAAAATGACAAAGTCAGAGTAAAATCAGAAATTTGTGCATGAAGTTTGTTACTAACGGTGGACTATGGCGTTGTCCCTATTTTAAAATCGGGTTTTTAAAAAAATATAATTCTGAAGTAATAAAAATATAGTTTATCAACTTCATTCCTTCAAAAGCACAGTCATAGTAATACACAAAATGCCAACCTTCTTTTAATTCAGATTTACACCACTGAAGATGGTTTTTAGCTTTAATTTAGCAATTTCATGAAGAAAAATTCATTCACAGAGCTATGTAGATTCAAAACAATTTTTACAGCGCAAAAATTTCAGGATAGCTCTGGGATCCACACATGACTCCAGAATTTTAGACCACATCTTGCTGTCGAGCATTATTTACTTCCATCTCAATCTGCTTCTCTTGAAAACAAGCTACAATTTTGGTTGGAAAATTCAGGCATATCCTGAGATTTGTTCTTTATTCTCAGTAAATAAGCTACTTCTTAGATCAAGGGAAACAGATTGATAAATCTCTGAGTTTTCTTGACCTAGAGTTGAACATATCACTATATCCAAAGTAACCAAACATCCATACTCTGCCACTCTTACTAAATATGCTATATTCGGGGGGCGCCTGGGTGGCTCAGTGGGTTAATCCTCGGCCTTCAGCTCGGGTCATGATCTCAGGGTCCTGGGATAGAGCCCCGCATCGGCTCTCTGCTCAGCGGGGAGCCTGCTTTCCCCTCCCTCTCTGCCTACTTGTGATCTTTCTGTCAAATAAATAAATAAAATCTTTAAAAAAAATACTATATTCGGGGGGCGAGGTGGTTAAGTGTCTGCATTGGGCTCAGAGCAAGTTCTAGGACTGAGCCCCCTCTCATGCTCCCTGCTCAACTGGGAGTCTGCTTCTCCCTCTGCCCCTCACTCTGCTGGTGCACGCTCTCTCTCTCTCTCTCTCTCTTTTTCAAATTAAATAAATAAATAAATAAAATCCTATATTCGGTGACTAGTATGGATGGGACATGGGAAAGATTGACAGTTCCATGCTGCATACCCAAAGGCATGTGCCCTAAACCCCCTGTGATGTAAGTCAGTTAGAATGGTGAGGCTGGAGGTGACCTGAATGATTATCTAGGTCACTCTTCATTTTAGGGATGAGGAAGTAGAGGTCCAGAAAGGAGGAGTGGTCTGTCCAAGGTCACTTGGTGTGTCTGTGGCACACTCGGGCTTTCTGTCCCAGGTCCAGGGCTCTGTCTGACATCCTGCAGCAGCTTACCTGATTCAAATCCTGGGTAAGGTCCCACAGAACGGGAACCAGGGGTGTAGAATTTGCTAGCAGCCAGAACTCCCTGAAGCTTGGCCATATTTAGGAATGAAAGACTTTTCAGTATGATGAAACCTTTATAAGACTTCCCCCTCCCAATCTGTCTCTTGTGAGGCAACAGTTAGCACTTATTCAGCATTGACCATATGCCAGCAGAATAGTAAGCACTTCATGCATTTACTTCTCAGCCACAACCAAGTCATAGCTACTATCACAGTTCCCATTTTACAGATGAAAAAACTGAGGCACTCTGTGGTAACGTAACTTGCCCGAGGCCACACGGGTAATTAGAAGAGCTGAGACTCAAATCTAGGCCATCTAGATCCAGAATCCATGCTTAGGATCCTATCATATCCTGGAAGGAGCAGCCTATTCAAGAAAGGGGAATGAAGATGCCTGTACGAGTTGATTGACTTTTTTCTCTGATTGATGTTTTTTGCTATGACTTCACCCTTCAAAGACTCGTTCTCCCATCGTCTCTCCACGCATCCCTTCTTCCCTGCATGAACTTCTTAGCAGACCCAACATGTGTGTCATCTACCCCACCACACTATCTGGGCCCCCCGTCTCTGATCTTCCCACCCTACCAATGCCACAGCCTAGCTGCTCACTGACCTTTCAAAGGAGAACCAGATTATAAACTCCAATTTGACTTTAATTTAATAAATTAAATTCCAAGCCATCACACAGCAATGGACATCATCATCTCCCAACACACAGAGGTGTAGCCCTGCTCTTGTGCCATCATCATCACAGTCTTTAATGAAGCCCCTGAAGCCATTTCTCTGGGGAAGGCTTCCACCCAGCTCCTGGCTCCCTCCTTCCTACAGAGCCACTGCTCACGGAGAAGGCATCAAGTACAAAAACAGTAATAAAGGGGAGGGAGGGATGAGGAGCAGGAGGGGAGGCAGGGAGGTGGGGAGTACCTGCCCCCCTTCCGGGGCACCGGCCCGGCTTTCTGTGAGCTGCCAATGTCCTCAGAGGCAGACACTGGTGCTGGTCGGAGTGGGGACCTGAGGGAGACATGGGAGTCCTGTCCCAAAGGGAATTAACTGCCTACCCTCCTGGGACAGGAAAGAAGGGTCACCTGGGAGAGATGCCCTCTCTGATCTGTTCGCTGAGGGTCCTGGACCACACATATAAATAGAAAAGAGAATAAATAGGGGAGGAAGGACCAGCTGAGGAGCTGAGCACCCTGGGGCTCCTCTGAGGGGCCAATGTCAACAGCAGGCAACCAGTTCTGAGGAATGCCCACATGTGCCGGGACAGAGCCCTCCTCTCACTCCCAGCCACCCACTCCCTCTTCTGCATCCTCAGCAACGGGTGCCCGCCTGTCTCATGCTTCCCGTTGCAAGTACCCTTCCAACTGGCCCCACAGCCCAGGGTGCACAGGGCTTCCTGGAACCCAGAGGGCTTCCCTGGCCCAGGCTGTTGGGAATCCAGGAAGGGGAATGGAAGAGGATGTGGGGGGTGGGCTGAGAGGACTCCTGCCCTCTCCTAGCTCAGGAGGTGAGAAGGGCCCTCAGAGCTGGGGGCTGGGATTGCCATTGGCCTTGGGTTTGGATTTGAAGGAAAAGCGCTTGATAAGGCGGCGAGAAAAGCTGCCAGCCTTCTTTCGGACACTGGGTGTGGCCGTGGTGTTGGAGAGGTCGTCGTGTGATTGGCTCAGACCAGCTTCCTTCTGGCGAGGCCTCCGGCGGAAGATAAGCTTCGTGCCACTGCGCAGGAAACTCACTGTGGGGGAAGAGGGGAGGCTGAGGCAGAGAGAGGGGCACAGCTTGCATGGGGTGAGGTGGGGAGCAGAGAAAGGACCAAGCGCTCAGGGGTTGAAGATACAGAAGCAGTTCCTCTGTCTGAAAGCCAGGCTTCCTTACGAAAGAAAGTAGAGACAAAATATGCCTTCTATCTTTCCTAAGGAGAAAAATGGAGGTGCTTATGGGATTCCTGTGTGTACTCCTGGCTACTGCCACTGAGCACTAGACTGACAACTGGGCCTCTACTATGGGAAGACAAAGGCTGAGCACAGGGTACTCCTAAAAGCCCATAAAGTCATGGAAGGACAAGGTAGGCACGGACTCGTCAACCAAATTTCAGGATGTAAGCAGGAAGTGGGGCAGCTGGAAAACCTCAGGGAGGTAAATTCAGAACCAACATAATGAGAAAAGTGCTTACACAGCGGGCTTTGGACTTAGGAATCTCATTATCCCAAGAAGTGATGAAGGCTTAAGTCACAGTTAAATACATTTGTGGTTCACAGACTCATTGGCAGAGGTATAAAAATGTGGGGGGCAAGCCCCTCATCCTTAGAAGTGAGGAAAGCACCACGCCTATCCCTGGGCCAGCCATGTGGCTGCTGGAAGGACATTCCTAGAGTTGATCCCAGGGTAGGATTCCTTATACTCATAAGGAAGAGAGTACAGAATGGAAGGCGGGGGGAGGAAAAAAAGAAAGACCATAGGAAAGCACATAAGTGCTTAGACCCAAGAAGAAAAGTGTAGGTAAAGGGAAAGACTCCGGCATCCCTTGCTGTCACTGGCACCTGTCAGATCCAGGCCAGGAGCCTAGGCAGCAAGTTCTCCTTCTCTACTCTGGCTTGGCTGAAACAGGCTGGGAACTCTGGGGATCCCTTAGCAGAGGAAGGAGAAGGCAAAACTGGGTTGAGAATCCCATTCCCCTAGGTGTCCAGTAGGACCCAGGTCCTGACACTGGGCATAAAAGAAAGGGAGGGGGTGCTGCCAATGTCTCCCCACCTTTGTGATCCTTGAGGCTGCGGGTCTCCAGCGCACCGGTAGACCCTGTTTCCGACTCAACGTCATCCACAGATGGCCTCTCAGAAATGTCCGAACGTGTTGTCTCATCTGCTTCCTGGACGCTGGTGGGGCTGGAGAGGGCATCGAGGGGTCCTGGGGACGTGGCTGGTGGGTCTGAGGGCGGGGAGGAGGGACCCCCACTGGTTCCTGCGTCCTCCCGCATGGAGGCGTCCAGGGATGCCGCATAGCCCAGAGATAGTGCCAACTCGTCCTGAGCAATGGGCACCTGGCAGGAGCGACATGTTTTAATGGGCAGGAGTGACCCATCAGGGCTTTCTCCCTATCCCAGCTCCTCTCCTCAGAGCCATGTTACCTTGGAAACGCCAGAGATGATAAGAGTGCTACGCTTGGTGGGTGTCTTTTTGGCTGCCCGCCCGCTGGGCTCAGTGAGCTGACGAATCGCTGTCTCTGCGACAGGGTCCAAGCCGTTGGAAAGGTGGCTCTCCCCTGCTGGGGGGTACAGAGGCTGGATAACCTGACTGCTCCCTGGCTCCTGGGTCCCACACAAAATGGCTTCTTGACTCTGGGGCCCCCATGCCCGCCGACACTCACACCTCCCGATCCCCCACTCACGGCTGCTGCTGTGGGAGGTGCTGCTGGGGCCGCTGCTCTCACTCAGCACAGTTGTCGTCTTCTCAGTCACCTCCACCTTGGACGGGGAGCGGGAGGGGGAGTCTGGTGGGTGGGGGAGGGTCAGTGAGCTGGGAGGTGCCTTAAAGTGGCCCCCACCCCCTACTGTATTGAGATGCAGGCTTTGGCTGACTCAGAGGGCAGGGGTGACTAAGGGACAGTTAATCACACAGGTGATTAATAAGATGCCAGAGGGGCAAAAAGACACCATGGGAACCAATGGGAGTGCGGGGAAGGGTCGTGGGGCCCACCCAGGGCGTGGGGAGATGCCATGAAGATGCCTGGGGGCAGGGGGAGCCCCGTGGTGCCCCCAGAAATGGGAAGAATGTCATGGAGGGCCCCCAGGAGTGAGACAAGTATCACAGAGGTCACTGGGCTAGTTGGCAGATCCCAAAGGTGCTAGAAGGTTGAGGGTGGAGGGAGGGACAACTAGGTGCCTGGGTCTGGGGAAAGGGCTGGCAGGAGACCTGTGAAAAGACAGCAGGGAACAGGGGAGACAGAAGGGCAAGGGTCCTGCAGGAGGGCCCGGCAGACCCAGGATCCCAGGATGGTTGGCGGGAGAGGAACAGTGGGGGAAAAGGAAGGATGTAAGGGGAGGTCTGAGAGACAAAGATGATGAGGAAGTTGTGGCTGGAAAACAGGAGGAGCTGGAATTAGGGCTTCCCTTGCCCTTCCCTGCCCCACACGGGTCTGCAGCCAGGGGACCCTGGCTTGAACTGGGCTCCCTTCTCTTTACCTAGTTTCCCTTCTACACGGGGCCGGGACTGGACGGTGGTAACTGTGGTCACAATGGTGCCATCAGGCATGATGGTCCGGTCTAGCTCGATCTTCTTGGTGGGTGTGATGCTGGGGCGTGGCGTGGAGGGAGTTGGAGTGCCCAGGTTCTGGGGGGAGCCCTCCTCATACTGAAGCTGCCCAGAAGGGGAAGAGCAAAGAGGCGGAGCTCAAAGACTGCCCTTCCCCAGTCCCCGGTGTCCTCCCGTCAACCCCCCTGGGTTCAGCTTCTCACCTCTACTGCCATGGTGGCCACAGGTCCCAGGGCTTTTCCCGGCCCAGGGGTGAGTGGGCAGACCTGTCTTCGGGACAGAGGTCTGGAAGGGGGGCCCACAGACAGTGTGATCTGGCCCAAGATTTCAGCTGGGGAAAGGGACAGCATTGTGAGCTGGGCCCATGACCAGGCCCCACTTAGCACCCAGCAGAGGGGCTCCTCCCTGCCCCATACTCACAGTCTCCGCAGCTTCCGCTCTTCAGCACTTTGAGGCTCAGCTCCCGGCTCTGGGGGCCCAGATCCCTGTGGCCAAGGGGAGGTGAGGTAGGGAGGGTGACGATTAGCAAACCAAACCCACCCTCGAACTGATCACAGGCCAGAGGCAAAGAGGGGTGTACATAAACAAGCAGGAACAAGGGTTCCAATTGGATTAACTCCTGCTCTCCAAAAATATTCTCTCTTCCAGGGGCACCTGGCCAGCTGAGTTGTGGAAGAGCACGTGACTCCTGATGTCAGGGTCATGAGATGGAGCCCCACATTGGGTGGAGAGATCACTTAAATCAATGAAATTTTTTTAAAAATGGAACAAAAAAACACCCTCTCTTACCAAGGGAATAGGACAGGGTTCTGCGCAGTATGCTGGGCATGGATCCTCCCTGGTCTTGCCCTCCCTGTCTATCTCTCTATGTCAAACCACCCCCTTCCCTTTGCTCAGGCTGTTTCCTCTGCCAAAAACACTTTTCTGTCACACTCTATTGAAATCCTATTCTTGCTGGAAGGTGTGGTTTAAATGCCACCTCCTCCACGAAGCCTACTCTGATCTTTATTACCCCCCTGTGGGAATTAATCTCCCCCACTTAAGCATGCCCAGGGCAAATCTTGACTGGAGCCCTTATCCCATCTTCTTTATGTACATCTGTCTCTGCCTGGAGCCTGCAATCAACTTGGTCATGTCTGTATCCCCAGGACCTAGGCCAGGGCCTGGCATACAACTGGGGCTCACACAAGAGTGTACTGACAGCAGAGCTGATTCATGCCAGAGCTATGCTGGAAGGGTTTGATCCTCAGTCTGCCCATGAGAGCAGGGGTGGGGGTGGAGGAGTCACTCCTTACAGGGCCAGGTCCTCGGTCCACTCCACCTCGGGACCAGCGCTCACGGGCTTGGTCCACTTCTGTTGCACTGGGTTGTCGAGCTCAGCTACACAGCACAGTTCCCCAGTGCCTGGGAGGAACCAGAAATTAGACGATGCTCAGATCAAAGACAGGAAGCCACTGAGGAATAATGAAGCCACACCCTTGGCAGAAGGACAGGGAGCACCTGCACCCATAGTCTTAGCAGTCCCCCAGCTGCTTCTGGCTCTTACCTTCCAACTCACTTCCCAGGTGAGATGCTCGAAGCTGCCGTAGGAATAACCGTGTAGGTCTGGAGATGGCAGGCTGTGCCTGGGGCACCGTGGGTGGCTTCTCACTGGGCACCTAAGAGCAGAAGGAGATAAAAAGAACAGGAATCCCAACAGAGCACACTGGGGACATTCCGCTTACAAACGATTTGCTTTGAGGACCTACTTACCGAGCCTCCAGGCACAGAGCAAGCCCTGAGGTTGACCATCATGGCCGGCTGGGTGCTGACAATGGCGTCCTCAATCAATTCTTCAATCGTGGAGAGCTCCACCTGCTCCTCGCCTCTCTGCATGGTGAAGAGAACAAAGAGATGGGGCCCCCAGCTCTGCATAGCCTCCCTGCTCTGCCTCTTCCGCCCCAGCCTGCCCCCTTACCTCCCTGGCCTGCAGCTTGGGAAGCACCGTCAGGCTGAGGTCTGGGCGATCAGTAAAGGCCCAGGACACGAGCAGCCCCTCGTCAGGGATTTCCTCCAGGCTGACTTCCAACTGCGGGGGAGGGACAAAGGGGTGGGTTGACTTGCCTCATGCCTCCAACTGACTCCCTACTCCCCAGGACCCTCCCTTCCCTGATTCTGTCCCAGAGAGGAACCCAAATGCAAGGATGAGGCCTTGAACCACCCCCTACCCAACTCGGTTTCCCACATCCCCCTCCACCTGTGTTGGTGGCAGTGTCAGAGTGACGTGGTAGGTCTCCATGGAGACGGCAGCGGGGGACTGCTGGGTCACAGAGACTGGGAACATCACCTCCTCAGCAGAGAGCTGGCAATGCAGCACCTGAGACCAGCAAGGCACGGAGGCAACGAGGGTCAGGTGTGATGGGAGGACGGGGGCTCAACCCTGCTTCGCTCTGCCCTATACAGAGCCCACCCCACCTGCTTTTCCTTGGGACTTCGCTTCTTTGGGGTCACAAGCCCATAAAAGAATTAAATAAAACCCAAAGACTCCCCGTCCAGAAAAATGCAGATACATACACATGTGCCCCATTTCGCATGTAATTTGAATGCGGCTCTCAGACCTCCCGAACCCAGTCCTTGGATGCCACAGGCATTCAGAGACTCCCAAGTCAAGAGCCCTCAGATTAAAAGGAACTCTTGAGATCAGCCCCCCTCAGGCCCTGTGGAAGGCAGTGCCCCCGCAAAACCTTACCATGGTGCGGTCCGATTGGTCTATGCAGGTCACATGACTAATGCTGGCTCTGGGTGGGACCTGGGGCACCTCCTCAAAGGCGATTTGGATGGAACTCTGACGGAGTAATGTGGACATAGGCTCAGGTCTCTGGAGCTGCCCCCCACAGGGCAGTTATTGGCTGGGCCCTGGCACTGCGGAGGCTGCAGGCTGGCTGCTGGCCCCACCTTGGCTCAGGGCTTTAGGACAAGAAGTGTTCCCCTAGAACCACACCCCTCTGGGGCCTGCAGTTACTAGGGAGAGCCGTGGAGCTAGACCACCTCAAAGATCAGGTCACCTTGAGAAGAAGACCCTAGATTTCTCCTGGAATTATCAGGAGCCTCCCTCTTCTCCCCTCACCTTCTTCTTCATCCCCCAACCTACCCCCAAAGAAAGGTGTGCATAGAAAAAAATAGTAATAAAGGTTTTGGTTGGTACATACATATAACTGGGGAGAGAGGGACACGGCTGAGCTAAGGGTAAAGGAAGCAAGGCCACTTGAATCAAGACAAGAGTTGAAGAAATGAGGCTAAGGCTTCTTCCAGATAAATAGGATGCGGAGACTCAAGGGTATGACCCTATCCATATTGTTGGGGTTGAAGACTAGCTCAGCACGGCCTTGGGGAACTTTCCCAGAGGGACTGGGAAGAAAAGCAAGCTCAGAGGGCTCAAGGGTCCGGGACCGAGCTAATTCCTCAAGGCAAACAGCAGGGTGGTATTAGGCAGCGGAAAGCTGCTTAGCTTAGGTCTTGAAAGAGCTTCCTAATTCTTACACAGCAATGGAAACAGCCTACTGAAGCACCATCCAGAGAGCAGGATGGGAAGAAGAATTGAAGAGGGGGCACAAATTGAGCTGGCTGCCCTTCCTCGGGTCTTGGGATGGGAGGAAACAAATTCACGGGACTCATGAGCCTGGCAAATCAGGGAATACCAACTTCTCTGTTCCTGTCGCTGCCTTGTTTGAAGGCCAGGCCCAGGGAGATGGGGAGATGGATGCTTGGAACCCCAATCTCCCCACCCCCTGCAAGGGAGGCCAATGTCCAGCTGAGTCAGCTGTCCCGAGGAGCCACTCCTGACCTAGGGACAAGGTACAGGAAAAACTGGGCAGAGGGATGAGTTCAAGATGTGGACTAACAGACGCCCGTCTGGCTTTCTGCTGGCTAGCTGGACAGAGGAGACCGGGCAACTTCTTGTGTGGCCACTTTTGCTTCCAGGCATCTGGGGAGCTAGCAAAGCCCTAGTGGGAGCTGGAGCTAGAGAACCCTCTGGGCAGGAGGCTGATAGACAGTGAGGGCGAAGAGAGATCACTGCGCCAGGATGGGAGAGGGCCCCATGACAGGGAGGCCTCTACCTCCCACCCTACCTCAGTCTTATGACCACGCTTCCTGCCCTACTTCCTGGGAGACCAGATGCCCATGGTGCAATGGGAGGAAGTAGGTTGGGCTGGTTTGTGACTGACCCTCAAGGGGCAGCTCCAGGCTCATCCACTGAGAAGGGCACAGATCTGCTCTCCACTTTAACACCTTTTCCTCAATATATATGCTGCAGGTCAGCAGGAAGGAGGATGTGCTAGTCTGTATCAGTGAAATTACTAAAAGCTTGGCAGGGTTGGTAATTCAGGCTCCTTGGGGATCTATCTGCCTGGTCAAACCAGGGATTAGGGGCATGAAATGTTAACTGGGTGTGGTGGCATGAGGACCAGGCAAATTCCTTCCGCAGGTGCACCTGTTTCCCTGCCATCCCCGTTCCTCCAACACAACCAGCACCCAGGCTACACGGAAGTGCCCTCAGGCCCAGGGATTAGCGTTGCTATGAGAACAGCAACTTGTGCTCGGGTTTGGAGCCAGAGAGTACCTCCACCACAGAATAGAGAATATGGGACATGGCTAGATTTCCACAACCTCCAGCCTCACCTGCACCCTTTTCTCTAATCCCAGAGGGGAAGAGAAGCCATAGGGTTCTCCAGCTGATCCCCACCCCCATCTGGTCCTCCAGGCACAAGCAGACCCTCCCTCCCTCCCTTGGAAGGAAAGGCTGAGTGAGGGGAACACTCAGGTGCTCCTGTCCAACTCACCCCGTCCCTGCAGGCCTGCTCGTTCAGCGCTCGCACCCAAGCCCGTTGCCAGTTCTCTCGGAAAGACTTGAAGGCGAAGAGCGACGCCAGGAGGCCCCGGACGCCTGGCTCCTCGGGGGCACCGGCCCGAGTCGGCCGCAGCCGCAGCAGCGAGCGCCACACGCCCAGCTCCCGCAGGGAGCCCGCGGGCTCCGCAGCTAAGGCGGGCCCCGGGCCCCGGCCCCCACGGGCCCGCGCCAGCCACAAGCCCCGGGCATACTGTAGCAGCCAGCCAAACACCGTGAGCAGCGAGGCGGCGAAAAGGATCAGCAGGGCCGCCCAGCCCACGTCCTGCTGCCACCAGCCCGGATCCATGCTCCGCGCGGGCTCCGATCCGGGCCCCGGCTCGGGCTCAGCCGCTGCCCCGGGGGAGCATGGCCCGGGCGGGCCGCGGGGCGGGGGCGGGCTCCCCCGGGGCTGGGCGCGCGCGGGCTCGGGGGCTCTGCGGGGCTAGGTGTCCGGAACTAGCGGGTGCCACAGATCGATGAGAGGAGTCCTGGGGGGTCGCGACGTCGGGGTCCCTCTCTGCGCGGTCCGGTTCCCTCCTTGGTTGGTCCGGCAGTCCGACCTGGGTTAGTCTCCGGCCAGCGCCCGACTCCTCCCACGGCGCGGGCCCTCCCGGACCCGGGCGGGGACTCTTCTGCGGAGACGTGGGGGATAGAGGACCGGCACCGGCTCCGGAAGGGCTGCGTGCGCAAAGCTGACACTGACAACACGGCCGGCGCCCCGCCCCCACCCGCCCTTAAAGGAGCCGCACCCGCGCTGGGCGGGGCTTGGCGAGCCCGGGGCTCCAGGGCTTGGAGGAGGGCGGGAGGACCACACAGAGTGGAGGAGGTTCCGGGGTTGAAAATAGGCGGGATCTTTGACCACCCCGCCCCATACTGAAATCGGGGTACTCCCCTTCCCCTGAGCTCACAGCAGGAGTAACTTCACTCACTTGAGACGCCGTCTCTGATTTCCTCTGCGCAGCTTAGATTTCTACAGTTTAGACGCGTTGTGGGGGTTAAGAAGGACCTGAACCCCGTGGATAGCGTCGCCCCCTTCTCTCAACACCGCCAGGCTCAGCACCTTCCCATTTCTTGGCCTAAACTAGGCCCTGGATAACTAAGTGCAAAGCATCCCTCCTAGATGGAAGTGCCTGGCAGTAGTCCAGGAGATACCGACCGGAAAGAACCTGAACCTGGTAGACTCTGAGAATAGAACATGGAATATTAAGCCCCCTTCACCACCACCACCTCCCTCCCACTAGGAGCTGGGATTCAGGAACACCCTATTAACCTCCTTGCTCGTGTGGGTTTGTTCTGGAGATACTTCCCAAGCCTGGGGCTGTTTCTGTTTTTAAAAATAATATATTTCCATAGTAACAGCTCCTGCCTATGGAGCACGTGTAGAAGAGGTGGTAATGAGAAGGGAGCTGGCAGTGTAGCAGTGAACTATCAATAGATTCAGCCAGAAAATGTGATGCCATCCAAATATGTGATATCCCAACAAACACACACAAAATGATGCTATAGGTACACTCTGGCCTCAGGATCCATCCTTTTTCCTAGATTTGAGGGAGTAGATTCCATCTGTATAGGACAGGGGCTTGTCATTTCCCTCTGAAGGGAGGGGGAGGGAACTCTTGCAACAGGATTCAAAGGAACCCCCATTCCCCAAGAGACCCTTCTTCTCCAGCTACATATGGCCAAGGGTTCAGCTCCCAGATAGGTAACAGGGAAGGTATTAATCTCTCTCCCCAATCTAGTCAATAAGTCCAAGGAATGAGTATCTGGGAATACAATGCCTTCTAAAGTGTGGGGCTGCAGAGCTAGGCAGGATCTGGCAGGTCAGCAACAAGGTTCCTGAACCAGAGGAAGCGGTGGGGTAGCCTGGGATGCTAGGAATTCACTGTAAGGAATGATGGGGATATGGCTGGTGATGGACAAGCCTTGCTATAGCCCTGCCCGTGCATGATCACTGGACACCAAAAATCATGGAAGATTCCTAGCATTTTTTTAAAGTTTATTAATTTTTTAAAAATTAATCTCTACACCCAACATTGGGGCTCAAACTCAGGATCCTGAGATCAAGAATCTCATGCTCTTCCAACTGAGCCAGCCAGGTGCCCCGAGAATGCAAGTTTCTAATCATAAAGGGAGGAAAAGACATGCAATGAAGGGAGGAGAGAACTCAGGGCCAGACCCCAAGAGTAAGCTGTCATTGGGCAAAGTGGCTAGAGCTAGGGAAGCAGGTTATATAAGAAGTTGCCTAGGTGCACAGTTTCACTATGCAGACCCTCCTCCCCAGGAATCCTTCTTCAGGAATCCTCCAACCTCCTAGGGATCTCAGCTCTCTGAGTTCTTGGATTTATTTCCTGAACTCCTCCACTAAGCACTGAGCTCTGGGTGGCCAGACATTGCTTCACGGTTCAGTCTCACGTGAGTCTCCCATGTTAGCCCCACTACTCTTCCTTCACTTGTTACTTAGCTCTCTAGTACTTATTCTGTCTTAGAGTCTAGCTGATTGTTTATGTCTGCTTTGCCACTCACGAGGAAGCTGCTTTAGAATGGTAACCCTGTCAGGCCGCTTGGGTGGCTCGGTCAGTTAAACGTCTGACTTCTGCTCAGGTCATGATCTTGGTGTCCTAGGACTGAGCCCCATGTTGGACACCCTACTCAGCGGGCTCCCTCCCTGTTCCCCTTGTCTCTCTCCCTGGCCCCCCTCCTCTTTCCCCTCCCCCTGCTCATGCTCTCTCTCTCTCTCTCATTCTCTCTCTCAAATATAAAAAAATCTTTGGGTGCCTGGGTGGCTCAGTTCATTGGGTGTCTGTCTTTGGCTCAGGTTGTGGTTCCGGGGATCTTGTGGGATGGAACCTACTCAGTGGGGAGCCTGCTTCTTTCTCTCTCTCTGCCTGCTGCTCCCCCTGCTTGTGCTGGCATGCTCTCTCTCTCTCTCTCTTAAATAAGGAAATAAATAAAATATTTTAAAAAAATATATAAAATCTTGGGGTGCCTGGGTCGGTCAGTTGGTTAAGCGTCTGCCTTCAGCTCAGGTCATGATCTCAGGGTCCTGGGATCGAGCCCTGCACTAGGCTCCCTGCTCAGTGGGGGGCCTGCTTCTCCCTCTCCTGCTCCCCCTGCTTGTGCTGACTCTCTCTCTCTGTCAAATAAATAAATAAATAAAATCTTTAAATATATATATAAAATCTTAAGGAAAAAAAAAAGAGCAGGGACCCTATAAGGGCACCTTGGTGGCTCAGTTCAAGTCTTGGTTTTGGCTCAGGTCGTGATCACGGGGTTGTGGAACTGAACCCCATATCAGGTTCTATGCTCAGCGTGGAGTCTGCTTGGGATTCTCTCCCTCTCCCTCTGTCCCAACCCCATAAAATAAAACAAATAAATAAAATCTTTTTTAAAAAAAGAGTGGGGCCCCGTCACAGTCATCTGTCTTTTCTCATATTCAACCAAGGTGCTTTAATATGCTAAAGCAGACTCTTTGCTGGGGGAAGGGGAGTGCATTTATATCACTTTGTGTCCCGGCAATACTTAAAAGTTTCCTGCAAATATAGTAGGGATTAGTAAATCCTTTGTAATTTTAAGTCTAACAAGACATTCCATTATACATGCCAACACTAAGAATTTCTATATTGTTTGCATCTTTTGAAAGCTCATGTTATCTCAATGGAATGGGATATCTTGGGGCTTGCTTTCAGCTAATAACTTTTTTTTTTTTTTAGATTTTATTTATTTATTTGACAGAGGGAGAGAAACAGAGAGAGGGAACACAAGCAGGGGGAGTGGGAGAGAGAGAAGCAGGCCCCTCACTGAGCAGGGAGCCAGATCCCAGGACCCCGGGACCATGACCAGAGCCAAAGGCAGAGGCTTAACGACTGAGCCACACAGGCACCCCTCAGCTAACAACTTCTGATACACTGATAGGGGAGAAGCAGGAAGAAAAGGAAAAAGTAACTCAACTGCCTGGAAAGAGCCAGGGATAGGGTCCTGCAAGTGTCATTGCCCCAGACTATCCAAAGCTGTCTCATGGACTTTTTAGGCACTGTAAGACATATTTGGGACAGACTTTGATAGGCAATCCAACTTAACAACAGATTGGCCTTGCTCAGTGGGAGGCACTCAGGGCCTCCTAGTAGGAGACACGCATCTTAGATGTTGTTTACTCAGCCCAAGAAACCAGCAGAAGCCACCGACAACTCACCTGATCTGTGAATTCTAGGACCAGCTTTAACATTCAGGCAAATGTTTTGAATTTTTACCAGGAAAGGCACAAAATTTCAAGTGTGGCCAAGTCCTGTGTTTGCTTCTCCTAATTAGGCTGATAATCAACTGGGCGTTTTCCATCATGGGAACAAAAATATTGTAATGCCAGTACCCCAGTAACCATGTTCTGATGGTAACATGTATATTGGATGAGGAATCTCTAGTGATTTGTCTTTGAACAAGTCCCCTCCCAACCCTGTTCCAGTGGAGGTTGTACGGGGGTTGGAGGATGGCTAATGATCTCTGGAGAAGAGTCAGAGGTTCCTGATGCCAGGTTGGAAGGAAGATTTATTAGGACTGAACTCCTAATAAGGAAGGAAATAGATACGCTGTCCCTCCAACCTCCAGGGAGTCTCAGCCTGCTCCTGATCAACAAGATAACTGAATGCTGCCTCCTCTGAGGCTCCCACAAGCTCCTCCTTTCCACCTGCTCCTGGAGTCTCACTTCCCCTACTTGGGAGGCCCTTCCACGCTTACCACCTACCGAAATCTTTGGAGAGACTACTTACCTCCCCTGGTCACAACTAATTGCTATTTCCATGTGCTCCAATTGCCATTTGTCCTTCTTTAAGACACAGACTCATTGTGTGGGTGCCTTGTATACAGATATCTCTGTGTCCTTAGCCCCATGGGGATACTCTGTGGAATAGAAAACACTTGCCTCTAGGGAGTTTCCAGTCTAAAAGACACAAATGCATGTATGCATGCGCACGTGCACGCGCACGCGCGCGCGCACACACACACACACACACTCACACACTACCTGTGGGATAAGAGGTACTGAAAATCTGGTGGAATACTATCAAGTATGTTACTGGGATTACTATATGTATATTAAGTATATTTCATACATGCACAGTTGTTGTTGGGTTTTTTTTTTTTTTTTTTTTTTTTGCTAATTAGAGCTGCCTTCAAGGAGGGACATTTAACACGTACTTTAGTTTTGAGAGACAGGAGAGACCATCTTTGGCCTAAAAAGAGTCAACCTGACCCTGACTTCTGGAGCAGGGGATTTCCAAGAGCGGACAAAGTGAGGGGATACTTAAGTTGTCTCCTAGTCCCAGATGGTGGTTACCTCTCTATGGAACGTAAATCACTTTCCACTGAGACCCCGCTGGTGAA